CAGGAATGGGCAGAGTTTAACTAGGTGGGAGGTATGGGTGAGGCCCATCCAAAGCGCAGGAGCCCATGGTCCAGAGCCCTGCAGCCCCAGGATGTGTGGCAGATGATGGGGAATAGGTGGCTTTGGAGCAGAAGAGACAGTGAGGGTGCGACTAGTCACCGTGCACTGTTCCTACCAAAGCAACAGCTCTGCATGGAGCGGAGGTCGTGGGCCACAGTGAACAGTGTGGTCACAGCAGGTTATTTCAGTTGTGCTTTTTCATGTTTCCAACTTTCTTTATCAACTCTGTATTACTATGATAAAGGGGGAAATAACCTAGAAGAATTTGGGAGAAACCAAAATCACACATATATCCCAACTGTGAATGGAAAGAAGCATTTTGGACCCTGAGAAATGCAGGAGAGTTTTCTGGACAGAGTTGGGGAAGAGCACCCCTCCCTGAGTATCACCAAATTAACAGAATCTACCAAAAAGAGAAGAGCACGACATTCACACTAAAACAATGGAGCCACATCCTCCACATATAACAGAATTTAGACCAGTCTGAAAGAGGACACAGGTCCCCCACCCCCTCCACACAGGAGAAGTGAGTGCCCACCAGCACCCCTCATCAGATCCTCAAGGTGTGGATGGGCTTCTGGAAAGATCCAGACATCTTCATGGACACTCTGTCCTTTCTGGAAGTCACCAGGTAGCAGGAGCAGAAGCTGTTCAACCAAGCAAGGACCCACCTAACGGCACCGTTTCTCCCCTCTTCAGACTAAAGAGCTTGGGTGGTGGTCCCAGCCCTTCCTACCAGGTGCCGCCACTGCACTGTCCCGTAGGTGAAACGTGGGGCTTGGCCTCTGGAGAATGTCCACAGTTGACCTCCTCACTTAGGAGGGGGGTGAAGCCCACCAGTCAGTAAACCTTGACATCCAAATGTGAGTCATCAGTGGCAATCCCCAGACAGGAGAGCAGACGCCTCCACAGACACAGACCGGGTTCCGAAAACATAGCATACACCAGCTGGTGTTCTACATGAGATTTTAGAGGACATCTCATCAGTCAAATGAGAACCAACTATTAGGGAAAAGTATACTTGGAATTAAAAAATAGACTCACCCCCCGTACCCCACCAAAAGTACTAAATAGGCAAATCAGCACTGCTGGAAATTGAACAAATGAACTTGTGTACTAAAAGTTCAGTTTGAGGAATTCTGCCCAGAATTCAAAGCAAAAACTCAAAGTGATGGACGTTTTGAGAAGGAGATAAAAGACATGGACTGTAGGTCTGGTAAAGTCAGTATCCATGAGATAGAAATTCCAGGAGATTAGGGGCATTAACCAGTGACATCAGAGGAAAACATTTGCATGAGTTCAAGAAAGATGAATCTTCAGATGTAAAGACTCATGGAGGGCCAGATGGGTGGAAGAAAAAATAAACATGCCTAGACATAGTTGGTGAAATTTTTAAATTCCAAAGGTAAAGGGAAAAAAATGCCATAGGATTACAGACAGGACAAAACCAGACACTTCCTATGTTATTTAACCCGCAAGTGGGTAGAAAATTTGGGAAACTCTTCCCAGGCTTTTTTTTTTTTTGGCTGCATTGGGTCTTTGCTGTGCGCGGGCTTTCTTTAGTTGCAGTGAGGAGGGGCTGTTCTTTGTTGCGGTGCATGGGCTTCTCATTGCGCTGGCTTCTCTTGTTGCAGAGCACCAGCTCTAGGTGCGTAGGCTTCAACAGTTGTGGCACGTGGGCTCCGTAGCTGTGGCTCGCGGGCTCTAGAGCACAGGCCCAGCAGTTGTGACCCACGGGCTTAGTTGCTCTGCGGCATGTGGGATCATCCCAGACCAGGGCTTGAACCCGTGTCCCCTGCATTGGCAGGCGGATTCTTAACCACTGCGCCACCAGGGACACCACACCTCCCCCCGACACACCCTACCCCAGGCTTATTTTACAGTGTTCAGTATAATCCTTACTGGAAAAGCTTACAATGTACAAAAACAGAAAACTATAAAGTGTTCCTACTTCTGAGGTATAAAAATCCTAAATAAAATATTAGCAAATATTAAATTTTTACTCAGCAACAAAAGATTAAGTTCAGCAATATATGAAAAGAAAAATACCCCCTAGTCAAGAGGGCTTAATTCTGGAATAATTTGAAATTAGGAAATCTACTGATTCATTGCATTATATTCTTAAAGGAGAGAGAACAAGTAGACTTTCTGGGTGGATGTCAAGTGGGTGTTTGGATAAAACTCATTGTCAATCCTAAACTAGGATAGAAGGAAAGTTCGTTGTAAGTATTTATCAGCAAGTAACAAGGCAGTTTTACTCAGAGGAAAGCCCTGGAGTAATCATAGTTAAGGAATGAGATGAGGATGCATTGTTTTGGAGGTTCCAGCCATGAAAGAAAACAGGAAAAATAAACGAAGTATAGATTCTGGATATGAAGTCATGAAACTCATTCTCCACCAATGGTATGATTGTTTACCTAGCAGATTCAAGATCACTGATGAAAAGCTAAAAAAAACAGTAAGAAATCTATAAAGTAACAATACCAGAGCTATAATTTTCTTTTCTACCAGTCATATCCAATTATGAATTATAATTTTTTCAAACCTCATCCATAATAGTTATAACAACCATAAAATACTGAGGAATAAGTCTAACAAGAAGCAAGTGAACCTATCTGAGGAAAAACAAAATTTTACTAAAGGACATAAAGCAGATTTAAATAAATGGAACAATCATGTAACCAAATGAGAGGAAACAAATGTCATTTCTCTCCAGATTAATAAGTAGTTCAATGCAAGTCCAGTTAAAATCCACGATGAGATGTTTTGGGTGAACTTGAATTCATTTAACACAGTTAGTTATTATTTTCAAGAAGTAATAATACAAAATTAAGGCACTGGAGTCTCCCCAGCCCCAGCCTCCAGGCACCTCCACAGAGGCACACGGTATTATTGATTCTTTTGTATTCTTTTAAAGATGTTTTTGCATATAAAAGCAAAGCTACAAGGGTTGTGGTATTTTTTCTATATTTTTTACACAAGTAGCTGCATATTATACCCAATGCTCTGTTCCTTGCTTTTTTTCCCTTATCAATACATGCATGCAATACCTAAAAAGCTCTCCAGTGATTTTCAAGTTCCAAGTTCACTCGGAACACTAAATGCACAAGAATATCCAAGCAAATGGTGAAAAGGAAGGATAATGAAGGGAAATTGTCCTATCAGGTATCAAAACACATTATCAATCTACAGCAATAGAAACAAAATGGCACTAGAGAAAAAATGGGCAAACAGATCAATAGTGCAGAGTAGGGAGTTCCAGGAAATTTACTCAGGAATTTAGCTATTTACTGCAAATTGAAAGTACAGGTTGTATTTTTAAATCACTAAATATTTTTGATCATTTGAGCACCTGAAAATAAACACTTAGACTCCTATTTCACACTAAACAAATCCCATTGACCCTGCAAATCTCTCTGGCTTCCTCTTCTGACACCAGGTCGAGAAGTGCTCAACTGCTCAGGTCAGGCCCACCTGATCATCTCCCTTTTTGCCACAAAACACAATCACAGGAGTGACACGGGGGGCAGAGGTCATGGGAGGCATTTGAGACTCTAGCCACCCTGTTTTTATTACATGAAGGGCCCTTTGATGCCTAATAGGTAAAAGATGACTATCCCACCCATAGAAGAAGGGCCAATGGTGCGAGCGGGCAAGTCGGAGAAGGAAGAGGACAGCTGGTCTTCAAACTGTGAAAATAGGCTTGATTTCACCAATGTTGAAAGAGTACAAATTAAAAAGAATATTTGAAATATTGACTCTCAGTCACTCAGCCAGGAAAGGATAGAGGGGCAGAAGTGAGTGCCCTGAAGGATGGGTGGGCGACCTCTCTGATTCAGGTGGGGGTGGATTAGTTGGCGCCCTCTGCCATAGAAAAGGGCCACAGACTGGACGGCTTGAAGAACAGAAGTTTGTCTTCTTGTCATTCTGGAGGCCAGATGTCCAAGATAAGGTGTTGGCAGGGTGTTTCCTCCTGAGGCCAATCTCCTGGGCTTGTAGACAGCTGTCTTCTCCTTGTGTCCTCACAAAGTCATCCTCTGTGTGTCTGTGTCCTAACCTACTCTTCACATAAAGACACCAGTTGTTAGGGCCCACCCTGGTGACCTCATTTTATCTTAATTACCTCTTTAAAGACCCTCTCCCCACATACACCCCCACCCCAGTCCACCCGGCAACCACTCTTTCTACAAAACCTCCCCCCTCGTTTCCCTGCGTTTGCTCCATTCCCCTCCCCTATAACTCTTAGCCACACAGGAGCCGAAGAATTCTCTAGTGTTAGAGTTTTTACAGTCATCTTAGATGTAAAAGAAAACAAATTATTTTTCAAGTTTAAGTTCATCCTTCAAAAACACCAAACTCCAACATGATATTCACCCAGCAGCCTTTTGATCTATAAATCGATTTTCTGTTTAGATCTACCCACTGAATAAGGAATGCTCTACACAAGTGAGCCAACAATTAACTGGTTGAAGTCTATCTCCCTAAATAAACTGGTGTTCTAGCTTATAAATCAATCTCATGTGGGTTTCGTTCCAAGGAACCCATGCTTCAGTGGTGCTCAGCCCACCCTTCAGGCTGGTTTCCTCCCAGGGGATTTAGGACTGTACCTGAGATTGCCAACCTCTGAGTGGCAAAAAATCTGTAAAATTCACATGAGGCCTCGTAACCTTGACACTGTTTCAGAACATCCTTAGACACGGAGAATCTCTAATATGTGGTGGAATTGGAGGGTTTATTGCAGTTGGCGGGCATAGATTACGTATATTTCATCTCTCCAACTAGACTGTAAAGTCTTTGATGGCAAAGGTGTGGGTCTTTGTAGTTTAAAGGCTGTTTCCCAGACCCACCCCACGGTGCGGGGAGGGGTGCTGCTTCCACGATGTCCGGTGTGCGATGCTGGGACCCCCTCCCCCTCTCTCCGCAGTGGCAGCTCTGCAAACCGAGATGGAGACCCTGGCTGTGCATCTCTTCTCCATGCAGAACGTAGACCAGGACGTGCGTGACGACATCCGGGTGATGAAGCGAGTCGTGAAGAAGTCGGAAGCCGAGCGCGTGCGGGCCGAGTTGCAGAAGCGGCGGCAGGTATTCTGCAGAGATGATGCCCCTGTGACTATTTGCCACATCTTTGATTTCCTGATCTGATCAGCCCTGCCCCTGCATGAATACCGCAGCCCTGGGGGCCGTGCCCAGCATGGGGTTGCTGACATGGGTTGAGGTTGCTGGGGACCCATCTCACTGTGCATCTTGTCCCCTCCCTTCCAGGACCTGCACGTGGACCAGCTGACCACCCGAGCTGACCACCTGGAAGAACAGATTGCCCTGTTCGAGGCCCAGTACCGCGCACAGGCTGAGGACACCCGGACGCTCAGGAAGGCAGTGAGCGAGGTAAGCGCTCAGTGGCACAGGCGCCATCGGGCAGCGCCCAGGCAGTGCCTGCGTGCCTGCAAGGAGACTGACTGAGCCCCCAGTTAGTCGGCCAGCCTCCTGCACATCTGTCTGTCCTCATAAGCATCTCAGAGCATCTGGCTGACCCACGCTGGGGACACAGTAGATACCAGCTGACTGATGGCCAGTATTCTTATTCCCACTGTAGCCGGGGATAGACTGAAAGGCCCCTCAGGAGATGGAACATTCTGTCCTGCTTGCTGAGGCATCCTTAGCAAGTTCCTTACTGACAGCAGGCCTCTTTCGGAGAGGGCTGAAGTCTCCCTACCCATTCTCAGCCTGGGCAGGCAGTGCTCCAGGGCAGTGCCCACATCTCCCTTCCCGTGTGAAGTAAGGGAGGGCCCGGGCTCAGTGCAGCTCCCAGTTCAGTGGCCAGCACTGGAAAGCAAAGTGGCTGTGACCTTTTTTTTTTTTAATCTGTGAGTCACCATCTGCATTCATACGTGCAGTAATGACACAAAGGAAACAACACACTTTTATTGAAGGAGAGACAGATGGGCTTGAACAAACGAACAAACACACCTGGGTCCACATGGGAAAGCGCCCAGTGCTTGCCAACCTATGAATATACTTAATCTAGAATGTGCTCCCATTAGAACCTCAGGGGGGAAAAAACTTCTTAGTTAGCAAAGTGATTCTTAATTTTATCGGAAAAATAAATTCAGAGGACTAGCAGAGAATTGTCCAGGGGGGGAAGGTTCATGAAGGCTGGCCCACGGTCCCAGTTTGCCCAGAAATGACAGATTTCCTGAGACATGGGACTTCCTGGGCTAGAACCAGGGGAGTCCAGGTCAAACTGGGATGGTGGGTCCACCTAGCATTAAATAGTATAAAGCCCTAGAGGCTAAAATAATGAATTACTGGAGTCAGGGACAGACAGGTAGGCTGTGGGAGCCTGTGAGAGAGCTCAGAATCAAGGAAATGTTTATATAGAAATTTCATGGATTATAAATTAATGGAGAGCAAGTGAATTATGCACCCAGTGGTGTTGGGACATTTGGTTAATCATTTGGGGAAAAAAATCAAATCTATTCCTCATACCACACACTAAAATAAATTCCACACGGGATCAAGGATTGAAACAAGGGAAACTGTACCAGAAGAAAGAAAATGAGAAGTATTTATAAAGCCCTGGATTGGAGAGGCCTTTCTAAGCATAACACCAGTAAGTTTGGTGGTATAAAGAGATTTTGAAAATCACTTCAGAATCTGCCGTGTGCGATTCTGCTCTGTGATGATTGTGTACACACACACGATGCTGCAGTTTTCTTTCATTATGTCTTTTTTGCCTCCTGCCCCTCCCTGCTGGCTGTGTGCCATCGGGGCAGGGCCGTCCCACGTTTGTTCATCCCGCATTCCTG